AGCTTAAAATAGACTTACAGGTACAATCCAGGGCGTTTGCATGCATTTTGATGCGTTCCAGACCAGAGGAAATGAGACAAGCAGTATTTTTGTCTGGACCGTAATGAACTGCACTGGTGTGAAAAGAGCCCAGAAATACCATAGGGATACATTGGGATGCTTTTTTGGTCCGGGAACAAACTGTTCTGGTCTGGACATGATCCGGACATGGTTTGAACAAGCCCTAAGAGAGAAGTAGAGATTTTCTATCACTTCCTGTTGCGTCTTATAACACGAAGTTAAGCCATAGCTCACTGGGGGCCCGGTTCACACCATAAACAGCGCGTTCCAGAGCGGTCAGGCTCTGGAATGCACTGAATCACATTCTGGCCGGCATCCTGCATTCGGGGGCAGGAGGGGGCGTGGCGGTGCATTGAAGTCAGTGGCACCGCAGCCAAGCCTACAGTGCGATCGGCCGCACCGGAATGCGTGGTACATCAGTGTCTGCGTTACGGTCCAGTGCAATCTGCAAAAATAGTGCTTGCAGCATTTTTGCTGATCACACTGGACCGGAACACTGGTGTGGGCCATCGCACTGTGGGTGGGGGGCATGGCTGCGGTGCTATTGACTTCAATGCACCGCCACGCCCGCTCCCGCCCCTAAACGCAGGAAACCAGAATGAGCCTGACCGCTCTAGAATGCACTGTTTCTGGTGTGAACCGGCCCTAATCGAATGCAACCAGCACACCAAAAAACTGACTGGGGTTTTAACCCTTTGCTACTCTATTAAAAGGTTTTTATCTGTATATATTTTCTAATGGCGATGCCTGAAGTGACTGCGAAAATAGGGACAGCAGCCAGAAGTAGACATCAGTGACTATTTAAGATACAATTTCTGTCAGTTTAATATTTAGGGCACTTTGTACTAATAATGACCACATGTAACTCCCTCTCTCTTCCTCTGATCTTCTACAGGCACGTGCAAGAACATTGGTGAAGGACTTTGTGAACAGGACAGACGATGAAGGTCCAGAGCTGATAAAGAGACAATTTTTGTAGTTGTTAGGAATAATTATTATTATGTTTAATATTAAGGAACTGTAATAATTAGAGTTTATCCTAATGTTCACATCAGCAGTACATGCTGATGGATAATGGTCATAAAACAAAGTTTGAAGGAAAAAAAGTTACTTGCCAGAGGCTCTGCTACTGTACTGTCATTGCTACTGTTTGCCATGCAAATGTTAACTTCCTCTATTGTTGGGAATTTCTTATTCATATTTTTAAATTGTTAGAACAATTAAACATATTGCATGGGAAGCATGCGAATTAATAAATGTTCCTTTTTGTTTTTTAATTGTAAGTATTTGCAGTAATATTTTTGTCAGTTTATTGTTTTATTTACACATAAAGTCAGACTGCCCACAAAGGGCCCATTCACACCAGCAGCATGCACTTGTGCGCAGCCGCTGGAGTACGCTGCTAGGAAGCAGTGCACTGCACTGATTTCAGCGCATCGCTGTTTACATTTTTTTACGAACTTTATTGAAATGTCACAATGTGACATTTCATTCAGTTGTATTCACCATAGTGGGTTTCTATGCGGTGTAGTGCGGTGCAACACACTGCGGTGAAAAAAAGCACTGCATGTAATATTTTTGTTTCCAACATGCGCTGGGCAAGGTTGTCCTGTCTAGCCCAACACATCGGGTGTGAACTGGCCCTAGATGTAAATATGTTTAAAAAGACAGACCTCAGATCAGACATTTGTGTGCTCTCACTGCTCTGGTCTGCACAGGGCCAGGCAGTTGAGCTGACTTACTAAAGCTAGCCTTATGTTATGCAAATTTCCGCCAGTTCTTCAGGAATTGGCCAAAATTTGCACAGTGGGTGCAGCTGTCAGCACCCTTTCAGGCAGCATCCCTTAATCAGCTGATTGAAGGAGCCAATTGGAAACTCTCCTACAAACACAGCTGTTCGGGTACTCTGGTATTCGGCCGGTGGATGCTGTCAGACTACAATAGAAACAGCTGGAGATTCCTGAATCAATGCTCGTAAGCGTTGATGGAGGAATCTGTTCCATTTTTTTCAGCCCGTGTGTTGAACGCAAAAAATAGAACAGTGTATGGCCAGCTTTAAGGGGTTAAAGAGGAACTTTACCCTTCTCTTTGAAATGACAACAAATACACCTTTAGAAATGTTTAGTGATGACAATCTACAAACAAATACTAGATAATTACTAGATAATTCCCGGCTTTTTATTCTGCTCAGGTGTATGCTAGAGACACTGCAGGTGTCTCTAGCATACAAAGCCCCGTTAGATGTTGTGCTATCTCCAAGATAGATTTCCAGTACGTTCTTACCATATATGTAGCATCGTCCCCTCTTTCTTACTAAAGGTGATTTTTTGTGAAACGGGGTAGATGTCCACTTTAAGAATCTTCACACAATAAATTGTATGGATTTTCACTTTTATTATTCAGTCATTTGCAAATAAAAAAATATCAACAGGAATTTACTTTTCAAATGAATGGATAATTGAGGTTCATATTCACACAACTGTGTGAAGATTCTAAATTTGTTTAGTACATCAACTCAAGTGTCTTCATCATAATAGGAAGGAGAGTGCTGTACAATGCTATACAGGCGTCTGGCTTAGAGAATAATGGCCTACCATATTCCAGCACCAGTTCCTCGGATGTGAAGACACTGACCAACCCTGCACAGGCTGGAGCAGTGACAACACATAATATCTTTATTAGGCAAAAGCCTCTTCCATGAGTCAGTCTAAAACTTTGTTACTGGGCCCATCTACTGGTCTGAGCCCCACCGAGGAGCATATATATATA